GTGAGTGGAATATTCAATGTTGTAACGTAAAAATCACAAAGAATCACTGTAAATAAGATGACATCCAGTGCGGTAAAGGCGAGAGGTAGTGTGCTCCTTCCTTTCTCTTGTCACCATACCTAATCTATATCCTGTGAAGATTAGCACTTCAACTTATTTTACCAGAGGACTAAACACCATGAACGTTTCGTGCTGGGTGGGGGGGGGGTAAGTTAGGATGGATTAGGTTGAGGATTGGATGAGGATTAGATTAGGATAGTTAATCTAGACGTAAAATAAGCTGGGGCTAATCGTCACGTGATCCCGTTAATCAACTTCAATGTCGATCAGTGGAAGAAAATTTATATCTTACAAATGACGATGGAAAGGAATGGTCTTCAATGGAGATTTAATTCTTGTATGAAGGGAATTCAGAAATATAAATACAAATGAGGAACTGACGACACGACACAAGTTAAAGTTTTATAATAGAAGAAAAAAAAATGTCGAGGTTGTGAGAGAAGTGTTCAGAAGACCTATCGATAGGGAAACATGACCAAGTAAATATACCTAAGTGAATGTCAAGATGAAAAATGGCAAAGTATTCGTATTCTCTTAACTCTGGGTCTAAATGTACATAATATACTCACACTACACTGACTTCATAAAGTATTACAACTACGGGGACACATTTTAAATATTCAGGCTGCTACTCCCTAGACCATAGGCACAACCTTTTCGCTTCCGGGGCCACATCACCAAACTAACTCGTAAGCGAGAGCTGCAAGATTTATGAAAGTCACCATAATTAGATGTTTGAATGATACATGCAAATTATTTACTCAAACGCAGATATATTATTTTTCTAAATCAAATATAATGCTTTTACTTAGACCAGAGATGACCAAGAATTTGCTGTCATACATAATTAATTTTAATGTGTAACTTTATACAAATGCCTATTACCATAAAAAATAATGATTAAAAACAATGTGCTAACCTGGCATATCACGGAACAAGTTTTTCTTAATGTGATGTTTGACATTGTGACTCTGAGACGAGCTTCGTGTTTTTGGGGTCAAACTTTGTGGTTGCCATTCGCAAAACAGAGTATAAATTTTCGTCCTTTAGCCTATTTCAAATCTTCAACTTGTTAAGATTCAGCAGATTAAATGTTTACTCACAGATGTATGTGGAGCCAAATAAGCATGCATAAATAGCAGCCTTATTTCTCAAATATGGATACTGATCTTTAGGCAAGCACCTGTAAAAATCGAGCAACTACCCTTCCATAATCTTTGCACGAAGACTCTCACTAATCTGGAGATCAATCAGTTATAACTGAGCCACTAGTTTGACGTCTTTAGATGATAGAGAGAAGGGATTGCTGAACAGTTGCAAATTTTTCTGCTCTTTCTTGGTGTCTCCAAATCGCTTATCAAACACTTCCCGGAGATTTCCTAATGTTGTTCCATAGTTTTCAGCTTTGTGATGTACAGTCACTAATAATAGTTCATGGGGATCTGTGTGTGTGTGTGGGTGAATCCAATCCCTACCCCTTTCTAGACGACGAATCTCTGGCACATAACCACGTTCACACAAACACACTCGGTAAAACTGTTGGAACTCTGTATGTTCAATTAAGTCAGGTTTGATGGAATATTTTTCCATGCAAATATTCCGTTATGTCATATATTTTTTTACACATTTGCTTTTGTATGACAGCATATGAGGGTTAAATCTGTCATGGACAATATGACCACACTCCTCTGTCACCAGAATCACGAGACGCTTCGATGTGTGGAGACGAAGCAATATTATGGAGGGGAACTTTTGCCAGGTGAACATTGGAGGTGATATGGGTCAGGTGTTTAGCTGTAGCTTTGTTATAGTATTTGAAGGTATTACTAATATCTATAAAGATAGTAATATCCTATATATGTAAATATATGAAACTTTAATTGTTCCGTTTTTGAAGTCGACCGATGACTCTATAAATGCAAAACGTCACAATTATGTCGTCATTGGCTTCGGAACTGTTCCATCACCACTTTGAACAATTGCTTCACTGCTCACTTTTTAGAGTCTTAGTCTACTTTGAATACATTATTACCTAATATTCAGAATGGGTTTACGTTGGATAAATGAAGAGAGTAATAAATGGAGAAGTGTAGTATATTATAACACGTTAATGATACACCGATACTTCCGAGTTGAACTAACGGTTTAACATGCTATTCATATGGAACATACGAAGCAAATTTTCGAACAGAATGTAATGAACCACGACCTGCACCTCCGACGTCTCTGGTCACTTGCTTAATTAATGCTTTGAAATCAAAGGGGCTTTAACCTTCATATGTTATCATGCAACATGGAATGTGTAAACTGATTTGACTTACGATAATAACTGATTGGCAATCATAATCCTGTCTGACTTTATTACATCAAAGACACATTTCTGCCATGTGTGTGCGTGTGTGCAATGTCACGTCACTATACACAGACTTGTCGTCCAGAAAGGGGTGGGGATTGGATTCACCGACACACACACACACAGACCCCCCCATGAAATTTTACGAGTGACTGTACAGTGTGCTTTTCAAGCAAAGTTTGATATGTTGGAAAGTGTCCCAACTCTCCTTTCATGAATTGTGACTGAAACACGTTAAGGTTTTGTTCAAAGCTGACAAATGGTTTGCGACTTGCGAAACAAGTTGGTTACGCCCCTGAAGTTTGGCATTCAAGTTATCTAATGACTGGTAATATCAACAAAAATGCCAGATAGCAAAGCCACTCCACATTTTAAAGCTGTGGAACCACCTTACACTTTTCATTAAGAAATATCACTATTTCATCCAGGAGGTTAATGAATCGTTGCAATGTATTTCCCCGACTTTACCACCTGACTTCAGTGAAAAACACTAGATCATCATACTCAGCTTCAATTTCTTGTTGAAACTACTTGAATTGGCGATGGTTCAAAGCTCAAGATTTTATGAAATTGACTGTTGAAACTACAATTTTCATTACATTTTCAAAGTTCAGTTCTTTCCCACACAAATTCTGTAGATGTATTGTGCAGTGAAACTGTATCAGTGCATTTTTGCGCCGTCCCAGGTGTTTGATCAACAGTGGCACCATACCATTGTGCGTACCAATCATCGAAGGAGCCCCATCAGTTGTTATGCCAACTAAATTGTCTATACAGTATTCAACTCAGTAGGGCTAATTTGCTCCAGAAGTCCACTTAGCAAGTCACTACCTTTAGTTTGCACCTTCAGAGAACTGAGACCAACAAGTTCTTTAAGAACAGTGCAGTCGTCTGTTACACCACGTACGAAAACTAATAACTGACCTGTAGATGTTACATCAGCTGATTCGTCAGCGACTACAGAAAAGTACAAAAGTTATTACCTTCCTCTTTCAGCTGGTCTACTATGTCACTTGATAACTCACAAATTTTGCATTGCACTGTCATGTGATTCAAACTGATGTTTTCAAACTTCTTCACTGTATCTGGACAAAGTTTCTAAGCACCAATAACCATACAATTTTTCACCAAATCACCATCTGTAAATAACCGTGAACATTTTGCTATCAGATGTGCAACTTCATAGCTCACTTCTGTCACATCTTGTGTGCCTCTTTCGTCCTCTGAGTGAACATGCTTTTCTGCATCAAAGAATTTATTATCTGTTTTCTTAGTTCACCTGTGATTTCTTCATATGATTTATGCTTGGATAAATAATGTCTTTGCAAATTATACTCCTTTCAAACGGCCACACAACTTTGACAAATCAAACAAATGATTTTCTCTGCACTGTTTTCCACAAAGTAATAGTTATAGGTACATATTTCTTGAAACTTTCTTGTCTTGTTCTCACGTTTTCTCTTCCGTGATGTATTTTTTCCAGTCGACTTACTAGAGTGAATTAACCAGACGTTGTGAGGGGTAAATAAATATTCAGTAATACTCCAATAATGGCAATTGTCTCAACCGAGTACCAGGGTATATTGGTTCAGCCAATCTATCAATCATCTTAACCGAGTCCCAGCTTAAACTGCTTAGTTTGTCGCGTGCACTGTATGAGTGGTTGTGATGCCATAGTTCTCTTCTTATTTTTATTAGTAATAATTTATTTTCGTAAAATATGAACCATATAGTTTTCTCGTGCATTTCTATAGGTTTCTCATGGATAAAAGTTAGATATGTAGAGGAAGGCATAATACTGAGATAAAATCAACATAACTGGCTTAGCGGCAACAATGCTCCCGCCTTGACAGCCTGGCTCTCCGATCGACACACGTTCACTTCCCGTCCAGCTATTGACCTGCTGCTGACTGTGATCTCCAAATTGCTACAGTCAATTTGAAATTGTTATTACCTTTCAGTAAAATGCAATGCAAAAATTGAAAGACAAATAAGCTATTCGGTATAGCTGGTAAAAACTGTAAGTGTAAACTGAGTGAAGGTAGAGATTGTTCCCATTGCCTCAAGTCCAGGTTTTATTTCATATTAATTTTGTATTTCAACAGTTTTGATTACACAAGACACCGAGGGCCGCAGGCTGTGCATCCGTGCCTTAGACTAAGCAGTACAGGTAAGATATATCATAATTTACTAGAGTGAGAGGCACGCTATACCCTTCACGATTCATTCACTGAGAAGTAGGGCTCGATCTCTCTACATAACCAAACAAGTTTATGAATATGACCTAAAATTATAAGAATTTGCGTCAATAACACCGAACCATCATATGCCCACACAGATGCTGCAACGGTCGGTCCATGGGTGGTCAGACTTTAGTGTGACTGGATCTACTTTTTTACATGGTAATCCAAACGTGATCTACTACCACAATTTTTCATAACCTCCAGCAGATAATGGATAGATTTTGAGTCAAGAGAGAGAGAGAGAGAGAGAATAAAACTAAATGAATACATGCATATATTGCCAAGCGCTTATATAATTTTCAATGAATAATCATATATTTAAGAACGGTATAGGAAGAACTTACTTTACTGATGTGATGATTTGCACTGCATGGCGTCAGCAAGCAGTGTGCAGGCTCGCGGCGGGTGAAATTTGTCGGAATTTATATTTCTGTAACATTATTAATTAAATATTCCCCAAATTATCTAAATGTGTCCTTCCTTGCTAAATGACTGCTAGATGCAAAACCAAACATGTCATGAATGTTGCTACCAATTAACAAAATATCGCAATTTTCTCTGTAATAACGGATGGGTCGTGCGCTTGGCAGTAAGGCCGTGTATTGTAACCGTAGCAACCCTGTTGAAGGGCTACGACACTACTACTACCCATCCCGTGATCTACTAGAAATTGCTACGCGATCTACTGGTTGATTTTTTATTTTGCCGCTTACAGCGGCTACTTTATTGTGCACCCCACACTCATCCTGTGAGCGGTAGCGCAAAAGGATTACAGAGTAGAGTTTACAATGGTCATAATAATTAACCCCCGTTGTCAGGATATTATGGCACTGAATGTTACACAGTATTTCAATTACATTATTTGTTTAGTTCTATACATAAAGGGTAACTTATTCACAAATGCGTGAGTACAGGCGTGTGAGGCAGTATGTCTGGCCGCACACTTTGTTATTCACATTTGCGTGAGAAGTATTCAAGCACATTGTGTATTTGGTTCTATACATGAGAACTGATATAGTTACTAAGTGCAAAAAAGTGGATACAATTTTAATATGTCGGCTATCTTGCCATTAGAGATGAAGTGTTGTGCCATTTCACAAACACTGTACAATGTACTTGGACCTGTCCCTAAAAGGTTCCATCTTCACACAGTCGAGGACGTAGTGTTCAAGTGTGTGGCTATATGTCTGGCCACACACTTCACATTTAGTCTTGTTTACATCTGCTTGAGGAACATACTGCCAGAAGTACTTATATCCTAACCTTAATCTAGCGGTTACAACATCTTGTAATCTAGTGATCTTGTTACTTGCTCCATATACATGTTTCACTTGATACATCTCATCATGGTAAACTATAGATCGACTAGTGCCTCTTTGTACTTGTCTACTTGCGTCAAACTCATCAATAAGTTCTTTCCTAATTACAGTTTTAAGGGTTCTTTTTAACAGACCCAAATTGTATTCAACGGTGTCTTTCTTAGACGCGAGTTTGGCGAGGGCATCAACTCTGTCATGTTTTATGAGGCCTATGTGAGAGGGGATCCACAACAATTTGACCTTGACACCCCGGTCAACAAGGTAAGCATATTTGTGTCTGGCTTCAGAGACAAGAGCGTGACAACTTGAGTTGAGGGTGTCAAGGGCAAGTAGTGAGAATAGAGAGTCAGTGATGATGAGACTGTCAGTGACAGTAGTTTCAATGAATTTAATAGCTGTGAGTATGGCAACTAATTCAGTTTGTAGAGTGGATGCCCAGTTGTTAATTCTAACTCCTTTCTCAATTATATTACCGTTAGGTTGAGTCACAACAATAGCACTTCCAGCCCTCCCACAGGCGGTGTTAAGAGATCCATCAGTGTAGATGGTCTGTGTGATATTATCATCAGTCTGTAGAGTTTGTATGTGTTCAAGAGCTCTCACTTTGGCAGTGTGTTGGAGATAAATACTTTTTATAATTAATTTTTTAGGCGGATATGTCGGTATTGTGATATCGAAGGGAAATGTCCCCCAGGGTGGCAGGAAGCGCTGTTGTGTCTACTGGTAGATCACGATCTCCGTTTTAGCCAAGGACTATATACAGTAAGGACACACCGCTGTAACGTCAACTTTAGCTCCGCCCCATTCAATGACGTTACCTTATTGTGTTGATCACAAGGGCTACGGCCTTGCCTTAGTTGACGGTTTAATTGTTTAATTTTTTTTTTTAGAAAACTCGTAAGGCTAAGGCTTTTCTATGGCTAGGTATAACAAAATGAATGCCTTATGTCCTCATAGTCTTCCAAAAAATAAGTGATACAGCAAAAAAAGAAAAAAATATATATTACAAGGGAACACCCATGGCCGAAGCAACTCAAATTTTGAGCTTATAAGCAATGCAAAGATTTTCCTTTTGCCAGACATGACAAGATGAATGTCTGACGGTACTCTGGACAACCGGATATTGCCTTCTATTAAGCATCAAGACCGGCGCTGGTGAATTTTTTTTTTAATTTATTGGGCACCCCCCCTACATCCTTGTGTAAGGTGAAGCGAAGAAGGGTTTACAGCGCCCAGCAGGGAAGCATGCTAAGTTCATGCTTGCCTTTATGTCTCATGAGTTAAGGGCGTAGAAGCCTGAAGAGTCAAGGGCATAGAAGCCTGAAGAGTCAATGGTTTTATGTCTAACCAAGTTATTGGAAGCTCCAACAACTTTCCCTGAATACGAATTCGCAACTTTCGATTTACAGCAGGTACCTACTTTGCTGCTAGGTGAACAGAGACCAAGAGCGGCGGGGAAGTGTGTCCAAACAACTTTCCACCAGCCCGGGAATCGAACCCATGACATCTCGCTTGCGAGGCAAGAGCGGTACCGGTGATGATGGTGGTAGTAGTGATGGTAGTGATGGTGGTGCTATATGTAGTGATGACGGATGGTGTTATATGTAGTGATGATGGATTTTTGTTATACGTAGTGATGATGGATGGTGTTACATGTAGTGATGATGGATGTTGTTATATGTAGTGATGATTAGACAATAAAATAATAACAGTTTAATGCTAAAAAATATACTATGTTGTACCATTGTAGTGAAAAACATGGTAGAACTTACATACACCATTAATGAACTATTGATGGAAGAAGTTTTGGGGACTGAACAGTGAGACACTATGGTGCCTCCCGGAGGGTGGCGTCCTACCGTGGCCTAGCGGATGAGCCGCCCGGAGGACGGCGATTCTGCTAGTTTGTAATAAAAGTTTAGAGTCCTGCTATAATAGTCGAGATAAGTTTATTTATCTAGAAACAGGGTCGCCATTTGCAATGACGTCACTAGTTTCAAACTCATCGTTGCAGTCATAGGTAGTTGAAAGGATGGCCTCTTCAGACCCCAAATGCCACTTTCAGGTAAGTTTTAAGGGTGTGTTTTTTTATGGTCAAGTTATGGACATTTCGTAAGTGAAGAAATTTGCCGTGAAGAGCAGCTTCAAACATAGGTTGGATGGATATATGAGTCATAGGGGTTGGGTATAAATTGGACTGCCCAGTATATGGGCCAATAGGCCCGCTGCAGTTTCCTCCATTCTTATGTTCTTATGGACATAAGAAACTCACATGTTCACACCAGCTCAGCTGTCATGTACTCTTACCTGATAGACTTTCTCTTGTTTTTTCAGTGCATTTACAGAGTATATCAGTACTAGATATACGAGTTAATTTAGAAGTAATGACATTGTCTGGATTTTGTTTTGAGAATGCCTGATGCTAGGTAAACATGACAACATAGTGCTGTTATTGTTATGATGATTCACTAATGAACCACTGGGATATATCATCATTTATTTTAATTATTGAGTAAAATTTTACTTTAACTACCATAAGTATTTTGATATTTAGATTCGAGATAGGCTATATCGGGTAAATTTTATGGTTTGGTCATCCCCGTATTTAGACATGCAGACAATGTTTTTTTCTGATGGTTTGCGATGTGTTATGAACGATTTTGACCTTCATTTCTATCGGAAATCACTAGTTTTGAGTTACTACCCCCTGCCCCCCCCCCTTACCGATGTATGTTAAGCTAACCTTATAACTCATCATACCCTAACCTAACCTAACATATGATTTGTATTTTCTTTTGCGATCGAAAAACTGTTTTGCAACAGAATTCCTGTAGAGATAATGTGTCTTATTGTTTAATGTACTTAAACTCATAGTTAGAATCTTAAAGTTCCCCAGATGACCAAAACCCAAATAATATCAATATTTGTTGTATGGGCAGCTAATATCCATTGAATTAGTTTATGTGCTTAGTAATATTTATATATTCAATAGAGTATTACTGTGTTGCACAGAAAAGCACAATTAATTATCCAATAATATTTATTTACAGAGTCAGTCAACCGAGAAGGTTGGACAACTACAGCTGGCTGCCTCCCGGGAGGCTCCCGCTGGGAAGCCCGCCCCAACCAGTCACGTCACAACCAATCACAGAGCTTTTCGCAGTCACGTGACTTTTTAGCAACTTAACCCTTATTTTTGACACTTTTTGGTCCAATTTATTTAAAAATATCATTACCATAAAGAATTTAAACGTTTTCTTTACCCATTGACCTGCCATCATACGAAAAAATTCGACAGTCAACTCGTCCATTAAGAAACTAAGCGAAATCTTCCCTCGTGTCTTGAAACAAGCGAGGTGTTAACACTTGAATCCTATGTACCGATGTACTATCGTGCACCAAAGTCGTGTCAACTACCCAGCCACAGTGAGGGTTCGAATTGCCTTGAATGTGAAGTTTCGAAACAGCTGGGGAAATGCTATGGTCGGTCAACAGATGTCGCCCACTGTAGTGTGTGTGTGTGGGGGATAGAGGAGGTGGGGGTTAGTCTAGTAACAGGCTGTGAATTCCGCAATCACTGATAACAATAAGAATGTCATGAAGATAGTTAATATTATCAAGCATGGTGAGAGATGTGTAACTGGTAAACAAAAGCACTACAACGACCATATCTCTGCCATTCATGGCTACGACTGTGAGACTGATGGGCACACCAGTAATTAATTCTCCGTGACTACCATTACTGGTAGTCACGGAGAATACACAAGCTGTTACCAGGGTTGGCACCACCCACACCAGGGGAAGGAGGTGATATTGAACACTGAAACATTCCTACCATCGTCGTCACCAACAGGTAAGTCACATTAATTTGTCAGCATAGCTCATGTCGTCCTTATACTATTGCAGGGTGTCCCATGAGTGACAGCAGATATTTGTAGAGGTGAAAGAATATATGATATTGAGTTGAAAATCTTCTATACACATAAGCATTTTTCTGTTTACTTTAGGTGTGAGGAGGGTTGTAAAAATTACGCAGGGCAAAAATTTTCCCATGTTATATTTTATTTTTCTTACCAATGCAGCCACACTGTGTGCTGTTG